TGCTGACTACTGCATCAGATCAACGTATATATGTCGGTTGTCGAATATAACGAACGTATGTGTCGGAATACTTTCGAGAACGAGCTCAAGGATGAAATAGAGAACTGTCCGCTGGAAGTGCTTACTCCTTGGAATTTTCGTGCACGCTTAACAGCTTCGATTACAATAAGTTCTTCCCACGGGCAAAGTTTGCAAATGCCAGTCCATAGCTGGGCAGAAAAGTTGGCCAATTTTATTACAGATACCTTAATAATCTAATTTAAACTTAAACCCGATTGACGTTCGTCTAACTTAATTAAAACTTTAATTAGTCGATCAAACTTAAGAATATCCCACTACTTTTTTCCCTTGTCCGAGGCGGTAGCGCGAATTTGCTCCCAACCGTCGGCGAGGCCACGGGAACGAGGAAATTCGGCCAAAGTGAACTCCGTCAGAGGTTCCTAACGCGATTCCCTCATTCGACGAGGAAAACCGGGGAAAAAATTTTCCTAATTCCGGACACGCATAAGCATAACTCCGAACGAGTTGATTATCTCTTCCTCTGACCGCCATTCGCGCAGAATTCGCGTAGCCAGTCGCAGGCAAGCTTCTCTTCTTTTGCCACTCGGTGAAGAGCTTCTCTAAAATTTATTCGCACTCCGGAACCCCTAATCGCGTTCTCCAGCGAGACGCATGCATACGTAACACGCCGAACACGGTTGCTTCGTCGGGATATTTCTTCCAGAGGGACTTCCTCCTCGCGGAGGGATGGAAACATCGCGAAGTGGAGCGGCGAGGAGAGGGGCGGAGAGGGGAGGAGAAGGAAAGAACGGACAGGAAACGACGAGGGCTGGAACTTTCCGCCCGGCGCGGAGGAACTAGCCAAACCGAAACTTTCCGTTCGAACATCACCATCGTGACTTTTCCCAAAGCGTCGCGATCGTGGTCTCTCTCCATTTTTTTCCTCCTTCCCCTCTACGTCCTCGCGAGCTTTTTCGAGACTTTCGCGGGCTTTGCGAGGAAAGTCAGTCGAAAATCAGCGCCAACCGCCGGGACTCCCGCGGTCGCTTCTCGCTCTCTTCTTTCTCTCAGCGACGAACCTCGCTTCACCCTTAGCCGCGGATTAAAGTATCGACGACACCAGCCGCGTCTGAATAATTCAGCACGAAAGTTTTAACCGCAACCGAGGCGAAAGCTCTTCATGGTTCGACGCGAATCCTCCGCCCTTCCCCAGTGTGTCGTCGACGGCACAGCGTTTGGAAACGATCGAAACTCGATTTCTGTTGCAGGATTAGCGCTGATGAAGATCGTCGAGGTCTACAAGGAGATCCAGGAACAGGAGATGAATATCGTGAGTACCTTGCATTCTTTTTATTCGCGATATGGTCACCGTGATCGAAGTCGTTACGAAATTTGAGATATGAGGAGGGACTGGCGAATTTTTTCATCCATTTTGCATGGTCTTCTTTCTGGCTATGTTATATTTTTATGAATCCTGTTTCCATTAATTCCGAGCTAATCGATTAATCATTCTAAATATCGACGACTATGGGTAGAGTTACAATATTACAATATTACAATATTACAATATTACTCCATTTCAAATATCAAACTATAATTCTTCGAGGAAATCCAAAGCTCCTGAAGGCCTCAGTTAAATTCTTTCATCGTCCATTTTACCCTGACCCTTTTTTAACTTTGTCATATTTTTATCAATTCTGATTCCATTAATTCGGAGCTAATCGCGTTAATTATTTTAAATATCGACGACTGTAGATCGTGTTATGATACCACGTGAAATAAAATTCACTTGGAATAGCAGATCTCGGCCCTAATCTTCGAAGGCCCGTGCTCGCGGAGGTACGATAAATTATTTAGAACAACCTGGCCAATCTGCCGCGATACATCTTCCAGCCCGTAACGGAGTACTTTCACACCCCTGTGTAGATCTACCCCGATAAATCGCGGCGAATATCGCAGCCAGCTTCTAAAATCAAACGGTGAATACTTCATAAGGAGCATCCACGGTTGAACGAGCATCCGTAACGAGCTTCAGGACCCTCGATCCCGAAGACGCGAATAAATCGTCTCCGGCTGGTCGCGCGATGCCTGTTCTGTTCGCGATCGAATTATTTAAATAAACGACCGAGCCTGACGCAATTAAAAGTAGGGAAGATTTATGCGGGACGCGCGAGAAGCTGAAAATGCACGGGGCGGTGAATTCGTGACGGGAGCGAAGTTCCAACCCCGTCGGAATATTAATTGGAAAGTTAAAAGAGAGTTTTGGTCATTTACTCCGTCTCTGTCTCTCCTCCCATCCCTCTAATCACCGACTGTGTTCTCCCTTTATCTCGATCCCGTTTCGTCGCTATCTTTCCTCCCTTTCGTCCCTTCCGCGAGAACCACCCCCGACCACCCTCGCGCGTTCCTTCGTGTCTTTTTCTATACGCCCGTTCAGAAACACATGGAAATCTCTTTGATCCTTGCGCGACCCCAGGCTGCCTCCGGGGTGAGATTACACACCTGCAGACGTCGCTTTTGAGGGTGAAAATTCGTTCCAGCCATAACGACATGTTATTACGATTTCGCCCCGCGGACAGCGATACGGGCTCCCGTGTTTTTAAAATGCCCCTCCGCGAGCATTCGGCCGAGGAGTACAGACATCAGACGCGATGGAATTCAAACTGTCTCGGACAACGACGGCTAGGCATTTGGAGAACCGCGAGATACTGGTTGGTCCAAAATTCACGCGAGATTTCAATTTTCCGCCATTTGCGTGACAAAGTGGGAGAAAAAAGGCAGCGTGACAATTGACAGTTCAGGGTTATTAAAAATGGAGCTATATTAATCGTTCGACCATCATTCTCACCCTCGCCAATTGGTGGATTGCTACATGAAGGAGGTTTGAGGACTTTCTGGCAAGCCCTTGGTGAATCATCGACCTCTCATAAATACAATAGAAGTCCCTATGCCACCTAAACGTGCTCGTCTAAGGCAGGGCCTGCTAAGGTAGCCTTACTGATGAGTCCACTAGCAGGTCTAGTTACTAGCATCTCTTCCATTTCCCTGTCCTTCTTAATCTATCATAGACGACCAAGATACCAACAGGCCAGCATTAATAGGAACACTAGACCATCAGTAAAAACAACGGAGACAAGAGTCAAGACTGAGCGTACCAAGGAAGACCCCGTCATAACAAGCCCCACATATCTATAACCACTAAAATAACAGATTTGACGTTAGAATTCTTGCATGTTAGAATCCATCACGTTTGATTCGTAAAGAAAGAATTATCCCTCTCGCAAACTCGGTTAAATTCCACCGAGCATTTATCTAAATCGCCGATTTAGACACGAGACACGAGCATCTACACCCCCTAAGTCCCGTCGTCGGGGTATCAGAAAGTACTCTGGCTTGCATTTCAATGACAATACGCCGTAAAGATCGTTCCGCCCCTAAACTGTTCCCTTCCAAAGCGGTGTTTAAAATCCGCGCGAACCCTTGCCCGTCGAAATATATTCCCGCCGCGTGATCCTGTTCTCCTTTATGGCGAATATTCCCAACAATGATCCCCGGGCCATTATGAACGATCCTCCGTGGCGGCGGCGGTCGTCGCTGCTGGAATCGTTTTCCAGCGAACGTTAAGGTCCCGAAGATTGAGCCCCTTTGATCCCTCGCTGCTATACCGGTTTGCAGCAGTGCGTCTTTCGAAGCGAACGAAGAACAATGTTTCCAGCAATAACGAGCTGCCGTTATTGCGCGAGAGATTTCGCGGAATTGCGACCGCCATACCATCCCGGAGAACTCGTACTTCCTAGGCCATCCGCGGACCCCAGTCCCCGGATTCGTCCCAACTAATTGTTTCTTACGTGACCGTAGTCGATAACTTCCGCTATCAGGCTTCGGAAAGTAATCGTTTCCTTTCCCAGCTTCGGTTGTTTCCAGTTTTATAGCCTTCGAGGGCCTCGAGATTGGGCGATTTCGGATGATTTAAGGGGTGTTCCCACCCGCGAGATAGGGCAGGTTCGTGGAATAATCGTTGACATCGGACAGATAGGAATTCGTGGGATATCGCGAGATTTCGAAGAATTTGGAATTCTCCAACCGTGCTCTCTCGGATAGGAAGGATCCTCGAGCGACGATAAATCCGAGCAAGGAGTTAGAAGGAACTCGGTTCCTCGTGTTCAACTGCATTCGTTATTTTTGCGGAGGATGTCGGGATTCTTCTACACGGAGTCGTTGACAATTTGATCGCCCCGGTTTGGCTGGAAGTGCCTCTGGAGATAAGACAACCGGTGACTACTTTCTGAAGTTTCCTGGTAAGTCCAGGAACCTTCTGTATTTTACTTCAATTCCTGCGGATCGTTCGATCTTTGAAGTCCACTAGAGACGTCTCCTCTGGATTATTCATTTGTTTATATTCAAAAAATTCGTGAGGAATTTCTGATATATATACCTTATATAAACTGCTGTCGACAACGTAGGCATTAAAACCATGATCGTTATATCATCATCGAATATTATACAAATTTTAGAGCACAGTGTTCAATCTGTATGCATTTACATTAGCTTAGGATTGATTTTAGGCCAAAAGAAATAGAGCTGTAGAATAAGGACTTAAAGGACTCAGGAAGTGTCTTCTATGACTTGATGCAGTACCAAGCAGAGTTAGATTATTAGAGTTTTCGTATGTTATAATATTTATTGTATTAAACAAGTCTCTGTACCCAGGCAATTCATTTGTACACACTCAAAAAATTCGTAAAGAATTTTTAATCATCCCTGATATACACCGCTATCTTCAACGTCTTCATCGGAATTGCGATGGTTGTATCATCACAGTCGCCATATCAGTCAGTGTACTATAAAAATTTTACAGAATAGTGCTCTATCTATATACGCCCACATTAGATAGAAGAATTTTAGGCCATCAGAAATAGATTTGTTAGAATCAGAACCTAAAGAACTCGTAGTTTTGGTATCGGAGGAAGGGTCTCTGACGATTGAATTATTTTTCTTCTATTATTATATTTACTACGTTAAACAAGTCTCTCTATCCTCATATTGATTTTAGGCCAAAAGAAATAGAGCTGTTAGAATAAGGACTTAAAGGACTCAGGAAGTGTCTTCTATGACTTGATGCAGTACCAAGAAGAGTTAGATTATTAGAGTTTTCATATGTTATAATATTTATTGTATTAAACAAGTCTCTGTACCCAGGCAATTCATTTGTACACACTCAAAAAATTCGTAAAGAATTTTTAATCATTCCTGATATACACCGCTATCTTCAACGTCTTCATTGGAATTGCGATGGTTGTATCATCACAGTCGTCATATCCGTCAGTGTACTATAAAAATTTTACAGAATAGTGCTCTATCTATATACGCCCACATTAGATAGAAGAATTTTAGGCCATCAGAAATAGATTTGTTAGAATCAGAACCTAAAGAACTCGTAGTTTTGGTATCGGAGGAAGGGTCTCTGACGATTGAATTATTTTTCTTCTATTATTATATTTACTACGTTAAACAAGTCTCTCTATCCTCATATTGATTTTAGGCCAAAAGAAATAGAGCTGTTAGAATAAGGACTTAAAGGACTCAGGAAGTGTCTTCTATGACTTGATGCAGTACCAAGAAGAGTTAGATTATTAGAGTTTTCATATGTTATAATATTTATTGTATTAAACAAGTCTCTGTACCCAGGCAATTCATTTGTACACACTCAAAAAATTCGTAAAGAATTTTTAATCATCCCTGATATACACCGCTATCTTCAACGTCTTCATCGGAATTGCGATGGTTGTATCATCACAGACGTCATATCCGTCAGTGTACTATAAAAATTTTACAGAATAGTGCTCTATCTATATACGCCCACATTAGATAGAAGAATTTTAGGCCATCAGAAATAGATTTGTTAGAATCAGAACCTAAAGAACTCGTAGTTTTGGTATCGGAGGAAGGGTCTCTGACGATTGAATTATTTTTCTTCTATTATTATATTTACTACATTAAACGAGTCTCTCTATCCTCGTAATTCACTCGTATATGTTTAAGAAATTCCCAAAGAATAATCCAGTCACAGAAGTCTACATTGCAAATAATTCTTCCAGTTAATTCTAGCAATTTTCCCCGTCGCGAAACGCGGATAGCTAATCCGATGTTCCTCGGCCAGGGGTTCGATCCTTCCACCCCTGTGCGCATTTCACGCATGCCTTCTACCGTTTAATATTTTCATCCCGCGTTCCGTACATATGTCTCGTTCCCTGTATTTCCTTTTCCCGGAATTCTCAGCGGGCCCTCCTCCGACCCCAGGACCGCTTCTACCACGCCGTTGCACCTCAC